TAATCTCTACGGATGGGCTATGAGTCAGTTCTTGCCTATAGGAAATTACAAGTGGGTTGCAAGTCGGGAATACTTAAGGAAAAATCCTGCCATGCAAAAGAAATACCTCAAAATAATTCTAAAAACTGAAGCAGAAGCGCCACGAGGATATTTCTTAAATATCAATGCACACTTTCCTCTAAAGACTCACGATTATCTAAAGGACTTGCCTCCAGCTGTAGAAAATGTCGCAGTAAAAAAGGATATGCTATGTTCCTATAATGCTAAGCTTGTGAAGGATATGGATGGTGGACGCTTCATAGCAACAGAAAAATTAGTTCCACATCTTGGACCACGAAAAGGTTATGTCATTCACTATCAAGAGCTCCAATATTATGTAAAGCTAGGTATGGTTGTAGATGAAGTTACAGAGATTTTATCATTCGACTAGACTAATTGGTTAGCCCCATATATTGCAAAAAATACCAAGTTACGCCAGAAAGCAAAGAATGCTTTTGAGAAAGACTTCTTCAAGCTCATGAACAACTCGGTATATGGCAAGACTATGGAGAATGTACGTAAGTACCAGGATGTCAAGATTATGGCCATGAATAATGAGAGAGATGAGAAGAAATTCCTTAATAAAGTCCGGAAGCCCACATTCAAGTATGGCAGATCGCTTGGACCTACATTAGTAGGAGCGCATATGGGAAAGGCTAGCGTGACTCTCAACAAGCCTATTATAGTCGGTGCATCAGTATTAGGCCTTAGCAAACTCTTAATGTACCGCTTTTGGTATGACTATGTAAAGGTTAAATATGGGGATAAGGTCAAGCTTGGATATATGGATACGGACTCTTTTATATTCCAAGTTGAGACAGAAGACATTTATAAAGATATGGCTGAACGACCAGATCTCTTTGCTCTTAATGGGGACGTAACTATTGGCAAGTTTAAGGATGAGACACCTGGCAATGTAATCACTGAGTCTATACATATCCGAGCTAAGTCTTACCACTATGTCTTAGCAGATAAGACCACAAAGTCTAAGCATAAAGGGGTTAGTAAAAAGGGCATGAGCGAAATGGCTACAGATACATTCTTCCCATCTCTAGGCGGAAGTTTACTAGATGACCCAGTAGATGAGACAAAGGTTTTCGACCCAATGACTCAGGTCTATCGGGATTGTCTCTTTGGTAAGGAAGTATTCTACGCTAAGAATGTGGGTATTCGATCAAAAGACCATGTATTATCTCTGGTCGAATCAGAGAAGAAAGCCCTAAGTCCCATGGATACTAAGCGTTGGATATTAACAGATGGAATAACCAGCCTGCCATATAGACACTGGCGTATCCAAGTATATAAGAATATGGTTAAACAAGGTATGTCTGAAGAAGAGGCCGAAAAAAGAGCTATGAGGGCCAAGCTCTCAGAGAAATATCAAAACGAATGTGTGTCTCACATATCTAGCTTTCAAGCATAAACTAGATAGTGATGAGTAGTCGGATCACATACATTATTATATTATTTTTTTTTTCTAGAGCGATAAATATTCAGTTATTTTTTTCCAGATTATAAAAATGCCTTCTAAAAAATATCGAACATATTATTCTAAAAAAGAAAAGGATTATGCTATTCAAGAGATCAAAGAGAACATTATAGCGTTAGAATGTGATATAACTAAAATACATCAAAATCTTAAAAGCATTGGCCGAGAAATCAATTATCTATATGATGCTATGACCAAATCATCTGAGTCCAGTACATCCGATTCGAGTTCAGCTGAAGAAGGTGAAATGTAAAAGATATCCATCCTGTTCTGTTACCGTTAAATCAACTAATTATTGAATGATTAGAGGCCTGCATGTTAATACAGCTTAATTTTAGGATCAGCAAATTAATAGATAGGATTAACATATTTATTTCATGTTTTGCGACGATCGTAGCCTTAACTGGGAGTATAGTCTTATTTTTTTATTGATTTACAAGGGCCTGCTCCTAAAGGGTCCGCTAATAAATGATGTCATGCTGTGTGTAATTGCCCAGTCCAAAAGGGACCTCTAACGATAATCTGGAGGAATCTCTTTTCCCAGGACATTTACCCACGCTGTATAAAAACCCGGGCTGTCATCTTTTTTCGAATCCCATTGTTCAGAGAGAAAAAAAATCAGTATGACAGATTCTGAACAAAGCAGTACTTCCCCACCAGAGCATCCTTCACTCATTAGATATAGAAACCTTGGATACAATATCCTAGAAAATATCGATGATGACCTTGTAAAGGATAAAGAAATTCCGGAACTTGGACCATGTTCTGAATGTGCGAACAACATTTTGACACGCCCTTTCAATGCCTTTACTACACTCTCTTGCGGACATGTGTTTCATAGACTCTGCGTTGAGAAGAAGCTTTTACTTACCAAACCAAGTAGATGTCCATTTCCCGATTGTGGAAAGAATGTTGATATTATGGATCCGAATTTTACTAGGAATAAAGTAAATGATTCACCATCATCTCAATCAAGTGGAATTTCGGCCTTATCCAATTTTATGGGCGAAAAGTTTTTCCTAACTTCACCAACAATACTGGAAGATCCAATGGAGGGTGTCGAGAATGTTCTATTTCAACAAATCGTAAGTCATTTAATATGTGCCAAATGTGCTGAAAAAATCACCCTAGATTTTCCGAAAGACACTGTATTTTTATCCTGTAAACATGCTGTGCATTATGATTGTATTGACAATCTATACAAGAGATGCCCTTCCTGCTCAACAACTGATGATTTGGAATCTCCGGATTTGAGTGATGTGCAGAAAAAACGATCTAATGATTCAAGCGAATTAACCGAAAAATCATCTAGTAAGAGAATGAAAAAGACTGGAGAGAAGAAAATATCGGGTATGGTAAAAAAACTTATCGAAGAATTATCTGATCCCAAAGGAACCCCCTCTGAAACATCTCAGGATTTTGAGATTACGGAAAAGAGAACTGGGAATTTCTTTGATTTGTACAATACAATCATTGATATGGAAGGACAGGAGGAGATTGTAAAACGAGAAGTCATCAAATCATATTATAATTTCGGAAAAGCACTTGAGGATCGTTATGATTACTACAAGAAAAATAATCCTAAGCGAACGGCTCAGGCATTGGTAAATAAAGAAGTTCGAAAACAACTTCCAGACTCAGTTAGTGATGACTTACTTCGGAAGAAAAAAGAATGGGCTCTAAAGATTTATAATCTATTTAATGAAATAGGTAAGCATAAGATTCAAAGGATAAAATCTTTCTCAGTATCATCTATATCAAAATTAAGCCAGGACGATATCGACCATATATTGGTCAAGTTTGCGAAATAGTATTTACTGCGCCACTCACGTGATGTTGTGAACCGAGTTCACATTCTCTGAAATAAATTTCAGTCATATGCAAAGCCCCTTCGGCTAAATTCATATATATTAATAAAGTTCGCCCATATCGGGCTAGTGTTTTTTAACATGTGTGATGGTGCACCCCGAAAAATAAATATGATTCTGTATAATACCGTGTATATAAAAAAGGCCGATCATCCTGTATAAATACGTCATACGAAGCACCTCTGGCTAATCCCCCTATTAATCATGAGAGATCTACAAACCAAAAGTGACGGGAGAGCACCAGGGACTAACGAGATGTTGGAAAGGAGTCAGGTGTATCGTAATACAATGATAATCATGTTGTGTATATTGTCTCAGATCTAATTTAACTGAATCAAAAAAAATCAGTTATAAATCCATTTCCAACCCAAAGTTAATCGAATAAAAATGAATCCAATATTTTATTATCATACACTTGCTATAAATCACTATAAGCCATTAAAATTGGTAAAAACTATAAACCACTAAACTGCTATCCTATATCTGTAAAATGGTTAAAACTAGCTACTATTCTGGTTTAAATCCTATAGTAGTACAAGCAATAACTAATATGCATTACAGATATAATGATGAAACGCCAAAAATGTGGTATTCCCGTATTCGTGTTCCATTTAAGAAACTTCTCGAATATAACCCAAGAACCTTCTCAAAGAATGAATATATTCATATGACTGATAGATTATATGAAAATGGGAAATTCGAACCTGGAAGACGTACATTTCATATTTATTGTACTGCATGTGATTCCTTAGTATTTATCTTTGAAAATACTGAGAAATGCGCAGATAAGCATCTGAATGAATGCATTGCCAGAATAGAGCAAAGGCGTGTCGTATATGTTAGATCTATATTATTGAAACGAAAAATTAAAAAAGGACTTAGTTCCGATGAGATTAATAAGCTTTATGGTGTTTATTTATCATACAGAAAAAGCTATGAAGGTCATTATCCTGATTGGCCAGAATTTACAGAAAGAATGGCATATCGCGTTTTAAATAGTGCAAGAACTATCCAACAGGCTTGGTGGAGTTATAAGTTGGGACCTGAGACAAGGGCACAGCGAGACTGGAATATGGTGAGAAATGATGGTACTCCTGATAGAAAATAACATTTAGGTATGATTAGTAAAGGACAGATGGTAAAAAATCCTGAGATGCAAGAAGAGTATGCTATAGCTTGTGATGAATTTTATGCTTTATTTAAGAAACATTACTCACAGTATATTGGAATAATCGATCCAGCCAAATCTACTCCACCATATGAGGAATATGTTTATTGTTCCCCTAGTAGATGGATAGAAGCTAAGAAACATCAGTTAAGACGACGGTTAGATAAGGTGGTATACGGATCTAATCCCGATTTCTCAGGAAGGTTTTTGATTGAATTGTTAAGTAGTATTAGCTATTATGAAAAGTACACAAAAAATCGATTTTGTTATTTACTGCCCTATAACTAAATATAGGAGTATTCTAGGCTGGTCTTAAAGGGACCGCTTCTGTGTGAAAAATGCAAGGAAATAGACTTTGATTAAATATTATATTTATCTCAACTATATTTAGCCAAATACACTATATATAACTTATTTATGATATATTTTATTTTTTTGTGAAACATAATCTGCATGATCGCCTAGTATAATTGTGAAATGTACTACCTGCGAGATAAAAAACTGATTTGTCTATTCCAGGTTAGATCTTCCAATATACTGTATAACTATATTAATAAATTAGCACATTTTCGATCCTCGTTAAAATATATATGATGTAATGTTGAGATCTTTAATGCACATTCCACATGTCATTAATCACAAATACGGGCGTAAAGTGCCTTGCATATTCTCCTGTCTCTTTCCCAATATGATTGTAAGCCCTAGAGGGGAGTCATTTATTATGTCTTTACATTATTTTTTTTTTACTTCGCTTAGCAAAACTTTTACTAACTTTTACGCTATTAAAACATGGAAGAATTCCTTTTAACAAGAGAACCTCTTGATATTGTCAGAATCTCTACAGCATTATTTGTACGAGTAGAGCAAGGCGAATGGACAGGCGTTCTCAAAAAGGAGGTAAAGAACTTTGAAAATGTTTTGAAAGGAGTCTTAGAATGAGTCCCCTCAGAAGATATCGAGCGAAGAAAGAAACTTCAAAGTTTTGGTACTGGGAAAAAATTAGCTAAACGGGTGAGGCGATAAACTATTTTTACGATGAATATACTCTGTGGCTAAGGCCTATGGATATGATGACATACTTTTTTAGGTTTCCTAGTATGGTATTATCACTAGCGAAGGGCTGATATCCGTTGTAATATTATTACTTCTCACACAGTAGTAACTAGTTTTATACCATATATTAGCATATATGATAGCTACATATCAAACATTTTGCCGGCACTTGAAACTTTATGAAAATGGAAACCTAATCTGATCCTGCGATGTAATATTAAATTATTTGTCAAACGAGTCTTGAGAAACTAATATTAGATATATTTTTAGGTCGCGACAGCATTCAAAGATCTATGTTCACTCTCAGAAATGGAAGCGTTAGTAATTGATACCGAAGCCTGGTATGAAGATGCAAATGCGAATTTACGATCTTTGAAGCGTGATGTTGGTCAATGTAAAAGTGAGAGCGCTAGTTATAAGAAAACCATGTGGGAGAGAATAGAAACGGAACTTGATGAAATAAATGTGGAGAATCTTGGATTCGATCATCCGATTTGTTCAGATGTTCTAGATATCAAGTCAGAACCCTTTACAAATATGCCTGAGTCAGTTTCTGATATTTTTAAGGAGCCATTTCGAAAATATAAGTTAGAACAGAATCATGATATAATGGAAGCCTGTAAAGAATTTATCCAAAATGAAGTATCGAAAATTAACATGGACGAGGTTTTGGGTAATATTAATTACAGAGAATGGTTAGACAAGCCCGAAGAATTGCAAGATCTAACAAAACGGATATTAGAATCAATGTAAGTACCCGTCAAGCAATTCTTGTGAAATCCGTTTATACGATTTTTTACTTTGCTCATTAACTGATAAATAATTATAGGCTTAAGGTTTGGAAATCGCCAAAATACAAAGCATATATAAAGAAGGGAAAATCGATAAATGAAGGATTATATGTTTGTGAGGTTCTAGCGCCATTATTAAGCATAGTGATAAATGATTTACCAGGAAACCTGATAGCATGGGATATATGGTAGGTTTAGTTTAAAAGGTTACATTGCAACACTATCATATCTTTTGCTATAATTAATGTTTTCTAAATTAAGGGGTGAAGAAGGGAGTTCAGCTAGTGCCATATGAAAAGGTTCTCGTAAAATTGTCTAAATAGCTGATTATATGATGGTAGTCCAGCTAGAAAAAAATGCTGAACTTGAAATT